AATCAGAAACTGTCCAGTCCATCTAGTTCAGAGAGAGATAGGAAGCTATTCTCAACAAATATGTCTCTGATATGATGAATGTGAAGGCATTTAAAATGTTAAATAACAGAGAGCGCCTTAGAGCTCTTTGATCTTGAAAAGTCTCAGTTTTTTAAGAAAATGTTGCATTTTTCAATGATGCAGTAAACTGCCGGGTACCACAAAGTTTTACAGCGTGAAACAGTAAACACAGGTACTAATAACGTTAAAGACGAGTCTGTGCTGAGTGTGTTTGTGTTTGTGTAAACACAAAATATGTGTTTAACCACACTTTCATATTAAAAAAAAAGTTTCATAAGAAAGCTCTAATGGGCATTTCAGACCTGGAATTTTTAAAGTTTCCCAGCATAAAGAACAAATGATAAGACACGTGAAATTAACCCAAATGCATGTTTATTGAAGTCAACAACTGAACTGTTATTTTAACAAAAGTAACCCCGAAAAAACAAATACTTTATGAACGTAACAGCCAACAGACGCAAAACCCACCACTGCATGCGGTTGGGCCTCACCTTGATGACATCATCAGCCATAGTACAAATTAACATACATGACAGCACTACTCCCATGTGATATGGATATTTATTCAAAAGGAAGACTTGTCATTCAAAATAATAATGATAAGAACAAAGACATTGTCTGAGTTACTGAAATAAGAACATTTTTGTGAATGCAACACACATGAGAGTAAATCTGAAGTTTGTCTGGGTCAATTATTACACGCCTCACACTCATACACAAACACACACACACACACACACATATGTACAAATACACCATAGTAACAGACATCAAGCCTGCTGTGCATATCCAAATATGTGTGTGGATGTGTTTGTATCCAAAGTGTATGTGCAAAGTATGTATGGGGTGCGCTCGTAAGAGTATCTGGTAAAAGGCAACACTATATACATGAAATTAATTAAAAAATCGTTGTTGAAACAATAAAATATGCAAAAAACTAAATGTCTAACCTTCAAGTTTTGGAACATCTAAATTCAAGGAAAGAAAAAAAAAAGATATCAATTGAAATGAAAACAATGAGATTATGCACACCTTTAACGAAACATAATTTAAAAATTAATTGGCTTATTCTACAAAATGAAAACAGATGGGCGGCAGCTAGTGTGCGGCTGCCTGAAGAGGAGGTGGCGCGTCGGGTGGAAGGGCAGGACAGCTCGTACCGACTGAGGAGGGAGAAGAAAAGCTGTTGTTTGCTGGCATCTGGTGACAGTCAATCATTACTGCACTGATGCACTGAAATTCAATTAGACGTGAGTGCACATCTCAGTCCAACACTATGCCCCTACGTGGTTTTGATGAGGGCATAACGAGTCCTACTTTGCCAGTTGCTTCACTGCTTCTCTGCTGTGTTGAGGCGGTGCAGACGGATTTCACTGGGACATGTTTGCAGATCAGAGAAAAGCAGGGAGGTCGGCCGGTTAGGCCGCCGCTTCTCGTCTCAGGAGACGAACTTGTCATCGCTGCTCATCTGCAACACTATCTACACTTTCCAACCATTGCTCATGCAAGCTACATGCTAGCACACTAACTAAGACAAAGGACAGGACAATAAATTACAGGCAAATACAGGTCCATTAGTTTTTAAAAGACACTACACTTTGGTGAGTATGAGTCAGATATTCCTTTCTCCATTCACAGAGCAGAACTAGACTGAGGTTAAATACAAATCAATGGTAACATCTTCAAAGTGGACAACAATCTCTGTGAGACAGAGCCAATCCTCTGATCTGCAGGCATGATAGCAGTGAAATGATAGCAGAAGAGTGTTGTAGAGCAAACATCAGATAAACAGTGCGAGCTCAAACACACAGAATCCAAGCACTGTTTAACCCGGGTTCACTACCACATCACCAGTCACTAAATAGTCTCACCAAGAGCTCTCGGCAGAAAAAAAGAACAACAGCTGACCCTGCTTCAGGTCGCATTACCCTTTGTAGAATAGCTAGCTTATAGACATACTACTTGCTCACAAAGAAGAAAGCTAGGTAGCGGTTAACAACAACACGGGGAAAGGAATGCAAAATCACATTCCCTGAACATTCCCATAAAATGTGTACAAAAACTATCAAAGACATAACTGTCTACAGGTAGACTGACAACAACAGCAAGTGGATTCCTCTCCAAACACTCCCAAACAGTGCTTCGAAGAGCCATCAGCACACGCCAGCAAAGCTATAGACGCTACTTCTACTGTACGTCTATGTGAACTCGTGGATGAGAGACCAGGAAGGAGAATCAGACATCAATCAGAGATGGAGTGGGGGAGTGATGAGAGGAGGGGACATGGGGTGAAGGTGGATCAGGACGCAGACGGGATGATTGATTAAAGAATGCAAGGAATGGACGGGCGGAGCAGAGAAAAGAGAAGAGGACATTTAAGTTACTAAATGACTTTCTTCAGTGTTAGCGCCGCCCAGACTCGGCACCCTGCCCACCAAACCAAAGCTTGGCATGTGTACAATCTAAAACCCAGAGCCTCTTAGTTAGATTGCAATCAATTTCAATGACCGGGCCAAGTGGAGCTTTCAGTGCTAAGGCGAACTTCCAACCTTAATAAAACACTGTGCATTTATGGGAACCTTTTGCTAAGCTGGTTAATGATTCCTGCTTGCAATAACACACATACACACACAAAAAGAGAAAAAAAAAAACAGTAACAGAAAGGTTTTTTGCCGGGAAGTTTGTCATAATGCATGTAGCCAGTCCTATTTGGCCCTGTAGTGAAAAGCAAGCAAGCATTTTCACCTCTGAAAGCAGCAAATGTGCCAACCTCTTAGAGGAAGTCATGATGTCACTACTCAATGAATTTAGCGCCAGGTGGCCTCGCCAAGACAAGCAGTCTGCTGCAGAGAGAAAAACGGCGAAGGTGAACCGTGGGATCAGCGGGGCCAGCTGGAAGGAAAGCCACAGTGGTCCACAAGTGCAAACACTGGGCCGCAGAATTCAAGATAAACTCCACCACCAACTTGTCGCCGTTCAAAGCTCTCGACCGAAGGTCTGCTGCTGATTAGCATTTAGGAGCAGAGAGCCGACAAAGCAGGGAGAAACTCCATTCATCAGCGAAAAAGGAACTAAGTACATAAACAGTGTTGAAAACCTGAACATCAAAATCAAAATACAAGTTGGAAATTAGATTCATGGACTCCTGGGCTGACAAACTGACAAACACTGTAAAAATGTTAACACT